GACTTTAAACTTCAAGTGATGTAAAACAATAGATCTGTGGGGCGCTATTCTGTACAATCGTCGGTATCGGTAAGTTACCGACAGCTATCGGTACGTACGGCCAATGAGCGTCGTGTTAATTGTTGTTGTCATAGTTTTGAGCTGTCATTAATAGGACATATAGAAAATTTGTACCGACGACTATCGGTATCTCTATCGTGGGATTAACAAGGGCACGGTAGAGATACCGATTTTCGTCGGTACAAATTTGCGATATCTACCATAAGGCCGATCGATAACTATGACAACAACAATTAACACATGTTTACTATATACAAATACGTACCGATAGCTGTCGGTAACTCACCGATTCCGACGATTGTACAGAATAGCGCCCCTCTGGGCATATCATTTTGTGACACTGTTCAAAAAGCAGTATGTTATCGATCATCATTTCCAAGCCAACTTTGCGCTGTTTTTTTCTATCATACGGTATATTATTAATATATTATTAATAATATCAACATAAAAATTTATTTTAGGTATAGGAACATGTATACTCAAAAAGTAACAAATTGGAAAATCTTATCGGTCTAGAACGTCTTGCGACGTTGTCCGATGCCTAACTTCCACGTCTTCCGATCGTTCCATTGTCCCTCGTTTAGATTTCTGGCACTCATTGCTCTTGTGACACCCTCCTTCCAAGTCTTCTTAGGTCTTCCACGTTTTCTTCGGTGTTGGGGTGTCCATTGCATAATTTGTTTTGGAAGTTGTTGGCGTTCGATGTCGGTTGCCAAAGATCCGTCTATTCCTATTCTCTGTCGGATTTCTTCGTTTTGCAGTCTATCTCTTCGGGAAATTCGTAAGGTTCTTCTATAGGCATCCATTTCTACCGCTTCCAGTTTTCTTCGGTTGGCTTCCGTTATTCGCCAAGTCCCTGCGCCATATAGTAGACTGATCTTTACCAGGGTCTCGTATATATTGATCTTCCGTTTTTTCCCTATTTCATTACTCCAAAATACTCAATTCAGACAGCCAATTGTTCTTCTAGCTTGTGATATTCGCTTTTTAATTTCTTTGTCATCTTTAGCTGTTGTATCAAATATCACTCCTAGGTAGGTGTAGTCATTGCAGGCTACTGTAGTCATTCTATCTCTTCATTTTCTAGATGTACGCTAGATAATTCTGCATCAATAGGTAGATATTTAGTTTTCCGTGTCTTTATTTCCAAACCCAAATGTGTTTATTTCCAAACCAATGGGGTTTGGAAAATCTTTTCACTAGTGGAATAAAAAAAGTGGGTTTCCATTCGAAAAAAATTATTTATGATAATTTTTAATCGCTCAATTCCATGACAGATGACAGCTACCGCCATTATTATATGACATTTAAACAATATAATTTTTGAAATAGATAGCCACATGTCTTCTCTTTATGTCACAGTGGCTATGGTAATCACCAAATTTGACTTTTGGACTATACAAATTTTTTGACAGGTAGTACGCGAAAAGTACCTATGATATGTACAGTGCTCTTCTGTAAAATTAGTAAAATAGCGCTTATCATGTTTTTCTATATTAACAAACGATATACTTTTAATTTCACCTCACCAATCTAAAAATATCGGGTATTATGAAATGAAACCTCGCAGGTACTTAAGATATCCAATTCCTTAACCCAGCCTTCTTGTTCTTTGTTTGTTTGGTACCACTTCAAACTGAAACGAGTCTGAGCTCTTCACGAACCCATTCATAGCCAGACCAAATAAAAATCAAGTAGTACTCAGTCTCGACATAAATCCACTTCTGGCCATGATATTCGTTTTCGTCTCGTCAAATATAGAATGATATATTATGATGATTTTACCACCATTTTCACTTCTTTTTTTTGGGAAAACGACTAGTGTGATTTTTATCAAAATCAGACAAAAATACAAATTATTATTTATTATATTTTGCTTGTATATGTTGGTTTAAAATAAAATTGATGTATTTATACATATATAATTAGTTTATCATCAGTCGTATACAGGTATTATACATGTCTATATATCTTATATACGACCGACATACATATACAGGTTGTTTCAAAAAACATGTGTCATCTCTTGGGGAGATTCCTCAGGTAAAAATAAGATTTATTTTTCATATCAACATAGATTCTGCTTTGTTTCGTAGCTTTTGAAATTTTTTTAGTTTTCAGTTAAAAAAACATAATTTCTTGATAATATGACAACATAGGTATTAGATTAAATTTACAAGAAAGAAAATCCAGAAAAGATCCAGTGGTTCTCAAATTTTAGCAAAAAATCATTTTTGTTTTGGAAATTTTCAAAGTAAAATAATTCCGTTATTTTGGACTTATTTGAAAAACGATAAAGAGAAAATAATATGTTTCTTTTATCGAGATCTACCAGCCCATAGATTTAGTAATACCAGCCCTTAAAATACTTGCACTTATTTCTGGGACACCCTGTATGCACACTCCATATTCATCTCGAAACCATATTAATATCTCAGTGAAAGTATCTTTCATAGTATTTCTTTCAATTTACCCATAACTAACGAAAGAGCACTCGAGATTTCGAAAAAGAAATGTGAGTTTGAAGTACTTTTTCCAATAACAACATAATAGACAATGTAAGAGGTGGGTGGTAAAACAATCCACGCAATTAAGTGTATTTGTAATATTAAAACGGTTCTGTATTTGTGTTTGCCTGTGTAGGAGTGAGATAGAGGTAGTGTTTATGATTCTCACAGGGTACATTTCAAGGAATGAGTTATCGATTATGCATTTTAGAGTCCTTAATAATGATTGGGAAGAGAGTATTTTAGAGAAAATATAAGAACCGAGTAGAGGGTCTAATATACAGAGTATTTCAAATTATATAAAGCCTGTATCTGTTACCATTTTCCAGATTCCAATGGTGAGAGTCGAATTTTTAACACCCTGCATAAATATGCTTTAGATATTGTAGTATAGCAACCCATGTTAGACAACAAAGTTGAAAAGGAAATATTTTGGCCAACTGTATAAAAAACAATTTAAATGAAATTAAGGGACCTACGTTGTGTTACAAATATTTTTATTGTGATTACCTCCGATGCGCTCGACAGAAGCAATATTTTGGGAAATTTGAGGAGAATAGGTTATGTAAATAAAACGCTAAATTTGTAAATAGCCCTACTTATTTTATTAAATGAAATGAAAGGAGTACCGTACTCTGCCTGGAATTCACAAGTAAAAAAACACGACAGAGAAAACCCTGATCACTATTCCAGAGAATCCAACTATACTGTTCTGAACTTGAATTAAAGAGAAATAATAATAATATAAATACTGTCTTCATACTAAGGTTTGAGGTTTAATACATTTATAACTGAAGAGTTTTTATTAGTTAGCAGGTCCCCACCTGCAGGTACTTAGGTCCCTGGAATTCGAGAGGCTACTTAGCTAGATTTGATATGGTTGGTGCCAATATCTTTAGACTATGAGTTACACTATACCATTTATTGGTTTTGACTGCTCATTTGTGTGCTAAGATATTCGCCCAGGCACGGTTGGAAATTATTAGTACACGCAACAAGGCCCTCATTGTCACACTATTATACTGTCAAAAATTCTACTGTTGTATCAAAAGTACTGCTGTCATAAGTTGTGTCTCAAAAAATCATACTGCACCAAAAACATCGGCACGAATGTACAGTAAACGATTGCATTTAGATTTAATTTTTAAAGTAGACAAAAATGACATCATCAATGCATCTCAAATGGTAGTTTAAAAGTTATTATTCTGACATTTATTATCTCTATTCGTTGTCTGATTTCCTTCTCCCTAGTTTACGAATAATATTTTAAAAATAAATAATTTTATTTATTTATACAGTGTGTCTTAAAAAGAATGTTTTGATTTTAAATAGATATGTTATGTTGAAACAAATACGGTTCATTTCAATATAAATCAGAAAATTAAGTTAATTTTTTCCATAGCAACGGTTAAAATTGCCTTATATCTATCAAAAATTTAACCGCAAGGGTAGATTAAATGATACTTTAACAGCGAGGATAGGTTTTTAATTGCTTCCATTTTTGAAAATTTTTGTATTCCTTTTCATAAGTTATTCGGGATTAAATGGAAGTAGTTTGGATATGGCGTTTGTCGCCTCAGCCTGAATATCTGTTGGTAATTTAGTTTGAGCCATTTCTGGCTCCAATTCAATCAGCAATCGACACGAAAAAGAATTAAAAAATATTGACCCAAAACTGACAACTAAAGAGACAGCTTTATTTATTTGTCAAATTACCTACATAGAAACAAACGCCAACCCAGCACAATATTTTTTCTACTCGTAATAAATTCCTTGAAATATGGAAAAAAAATATTGTTTTACACACGGGGCGACGATAAAATTGCGTTATCGTCACCCGAAATTAATTCATTTCGGTCGACGATAAAATACCATTTTATCGTCTTGTATAAAAAATAACTATTAACCACATTGTGTTAAAACACTTGTATATTACTAATTCTAAGTATCGTACTGATATATTTTAATCTCCCTCGTTCAAAATATAAAGGTAAACAAATTTCTGCATGACTACCCTATTTCACGCCGTAAAAAAACAGAAAATTTGAATAGAAATATAGCCGGCTCGACTCACGGTCTACGAGTACCAACAAAACAGTACCATTTTCGATTCTTTGAAGCGGCATATTAGGGATTTGACACGCACAGTGGTTGTTTACAATATAATGATATGATGGTGGAACCAAGGTGGAACCTTTAGGCATTTTTCTCAGAGCTGGACATTAAAATTCGTATTGAATTACTTGTTATTAAATATAAAAATTACCAGTAATATAATATATATTTTATAGTCCAGAACACCCTGTATAATAATAAAATAAAATAAAAATTTACTAAAATACACCAAAACACTTTTTAAATGATTTGATGTGTTTTAGTTTAGTTTTTTGGTGTGTTGTATTGCATTTTAATATATTTTATTTTCTATTTCAGGCTTTCGAGGTCCAAATTGTGAGGAGAACATCGATAATTGTCCTGGTCACCAATGCCAAAACGGCGGCAAATGCATTGATGGTGTGAACACGTATACCTGCGAATGTCCTTCAACCTACACCGGTGAATACTGTGAACAGGTGAGTTTTTTTTTTTATTTTCAATAGACTATAATCTCTTTTACAAAACTTGTGTAGCATTTGTTAAACAAATTTTATTATACAGGGTGTCTTTTGAATAAATGCAAGTATTTTAACTAGTAGTACCTATATTTGACACCAAAAACAGACCTTGAGTTTCGTGGAAATTTTACAGATTTATTGACATTTACCTGGATATTAAGAAAAATTGTTTGCGCACTATGTGCGCATATTTGAAGTAAAACTTCTTCTTAGTTCCGTCCGTCTGTCTGTTCATATGTCCGTCTGAGGACTCCATTCGGGTATCACTCTCCACGTGCCGAGTTTGTTTCCAATCGACCCATAATTAAGAGAGAAAAATCCTTATTATTTCATCCATTTAAAGGCATCGGTTCGAAACGTCGAGGGCGTCAACCTGTAGCCCGTCCTCAATTATGCCGAAATCGATCCACATTTTTCTTCAGTATCAAATCCTTAGTCCCACCCTGATAAAGATGTAAACGAAACGTCGTATACAACTTTGCAGGATGGGATCGTGTGCACCGTCGCTCACATAGCCTACCCACCGAATTTGGTCGCGATCGGACGACATCAACTTTTAACGTTTCTTACGTCAAAACTCACTGTCACAGTGACACGTGTCGTACACGGTTAAGTTGGCCTTGGTCCAATTAGAAAATGTCCTTTAAATCGAACGATTTTTTGATTTGATTCATTGATGATCGTTTCATAGTGCACGAAACGTCGTCAAAATATCATGAAAATACAAAAATATGTGGACAGCGCTTAAACCACCTAAGATATGCGGATGATATCGCGTTAATAAAAGATAAGAAAGAAGAACTGAGAGAAATACTAAAAGAACTGGATACAGCAGCCAGGAGTATAGGCCTCAATATAAATTACAATACCTACTTGCACTTGTTTAATAGACATCCTCTATGACAAGAACGATAGTCGTTTAAAAAAACTTTGAAACAAAGACTTTTTGGAGTTATAGATGCTGTACTGATAGCAGTAAATAATGAATTGTCTATTATTTTATTTTAGGATGTTGACGAGTGTGCGTTACGGCCGTCGGTGTGTCAAAATGGCGCCACCTGCACCAACAGCGTGGGTGGTTTCTCTTGCATCTGCGTGAACGGCTGGACAGGACCGGACTGCAGTGTAAACATCGACGACTGCGCAGGAGCTGCCTGTTTCAACGGCGCAACGTGCATCGACAGAGTGGGCAGCTTCTATTGCAGATGCACCTCTGGAAAAACCGGTAAGATTATTTTTTTTATTATCCTATATCTATCCTGTAATTTTGGGACAAGAATTTATGCAATTGATACAAGCGGTATATTATTGTATCAGTATATTTTAAAATATGATTAAATCTACATTGATGATGTAATTTCACAACCAATAATAAATCGGTAATCTTGAAAATTCTGGTGAGGATATTGGATCAAACCATAGAAAAATGAAACAAGTTTAGATTGGAAAGTGCCCATAAGGACAATGTAAATACTATTTGGCGCTATTCTTACAACGGTCGCGACCCGAAGCTTTTGATAATTTCCGAGCGGTAATAAATAAAATACATTGTGTGAATAAAATACGGTGTGTTGCTAATAAGAAACCTTATTTTATATAAGGAAAATCACAACAAACATTCGAAAAGTCGACGTTATGCCACGATGGTTTTTGCAGTGTACAGTTCACACAGTTTTTTACGTTTTTAATGCAACTTTTTCACAATTATCATGGGTTTGAGTAAATAAAATTTAAATTAAACTCATTATATAGCAATAATTACTTTGAAAACGGACGCTTTAAACACTTTTCGGTATTTTTTCGATGAGGGCGGTTTAAATTTTGACAGATTTTACAATTTTTGGAGATTCTGACTTTGACAACACAAATTATTTCTGTTCTTGTTTGTGGTTGTTCTTAGCCCCAACCGCAATAGCAGCGCCAGATCGCGTATAATTGGCGAGCTTTCCAATCTAAATTTATTTCCTTTATCCATGGATCAAACTTACCAAGAGCAACAATCCCAGCTCACATTAAAACGATAGTGGAATGGCGAATGGTGTTGTTTCATAGGCTAGAGTGTAAAGGCTATTGACACACTGCCATTCACGCCGGTTCAAGACCCGATGAGATTGGATAGGTCGTGAGTAAGAGTCGATTTAGACACTCGCCTTGTCGGTAGGCTATTGACAATGATATAGTAGAGGACGGAGGTTCGGATTCCGCATAAACAAAGTAAGCCCCGTCCAGATTAGCTTTAGCAGCAAAAAGGAGACGTTAACCTAAAATACTTTACTCTCTTTTTTCTTCAAAGAAATTTACTTAGCCACATATAGGTTACATTGAGATCTAAGCTAGTATACAAACCGTGATATAAATGAGACCTGGGAATACACTTAAGCAAACTGGATGGTCGAAATATTCCTGCCAAATTTACACAAACACATTAAAATGTTTCTCTTGCAGAAATCGGCCGAAGAGGAATTATCTCAATTACGATCTCATTTTGATTCTTTTTAACGCGGACGCGGTCGATGAAAAGAACCAGCATCGGAATCCATCGAACCCATTAAAATCCATGGCGTAACGAGCCGACAAGAAAAAGATGGGCACCCTTCATGGGCGCCATTAAAAAAACCGATAAAATATTCGAGAAGCGTATTCGCCTCTCTTAATCTTTCTCCATTTTTATACTCGTTATACAGGATGTTACGCTGGACCATTATCAAATTTTTATCTAGGGCGTAAATTTCTTAGTCTTTTGCTTTATGGTTATTTCAATATAACTGGTTCGTTTCGGTATGAATTGTATTTCGCCAATAACCTTGCATAGTTCATATATCCCCTCTGAAATTCAGCACAGAATTAGCAGCGCCTCAAGAGCATTCTGGAAATTCAATCATGACTTGAGCATAAAAACGAAACTAATCCCCACCATGTTATATGGAAGCGAAACCTAGGTGCCGCACAGTGCTTCGAACATATGGCTCTAGAGGACAAAAATGCAAAACTTCTCTTTTATTGTAGGCAATTTATTCAAACTAGGTTTATTTGACACAAATGATGAGTGCTCTCGTTGTACTAAATGATGATGTTCTTAGTCCCACGTTTATGAAAAAAAATCTTATAAATAATAAAAATGTTACTGATATTCTTTCAATTGAGTGCCTGAACGAATCAGATAGGTAACTCTTTTTACTTTCTTGAAATAGAAAAGGAAAATAATAAAACAAGTGACAGTTCTTCTTGCAAAAATCAACACAAGAAATGTCATAATTGACAAAAGTAAAATGTCATCAGCTTTTGACATTTCTAAATATTAGACTAATGCCGTCTCCAATAGAACAGACACGGAGCGAGATTTATGACGTCACGCTAGTTAGATACTACGGATTAATAAATATGTTGTAGAATACATGGAAAACATAATTATTCCTCGTATTTTTTGGTTTGTATTTTAAAAATGATATAGTTTACATGAAATATATATAATATACAGTTAATAAATACAATATAATATATACCTATTTATAGTAATAAATACTTTGGCAAATAAAACTATGAACCATACAAATGCAGCAAATGTTTTAGAATATACAAATAATGAATAGGTGGTACATAAGATAATGGGTAAAATGTAAAATATATTTTAAATTTTGGGGTTTGAAAATCAATCTAATTTAACAAAAAACATTCAATATCTACTAATAGTGATGTATTATTATTTGCATTCACAAAATTTATTTATATATTATAATGTTTACTGCAATTAATAAACTAATATAAACTTGTCAAAAGATGACCACATGTTTTTTTAAATTATTATTCTTAACACAAAAACTATCTACATTGACTATGGAGTACGATTTCAGCCATATTGTAAAATATTTGCTGCATTTGTATGGTTCATAGTTTATGCCAAAGTATTTATTACTATAAATAGGTATATATATATTGTATTTATTATCTGTATATTATGTATATTTCATGTAAACTATATCATTTTTAAAATACAAACCAAAAATACGAGGAATATATATGTTTTCCATGTATTCTACAACATATTTATTAATCCATAGTATCTAACTAGCGTGACGTCATAAATCCCGCTCCGAGGCTGTTCTATTAGACACGGCATTGAGTCAGCATGGCCGCAAGTTGCTAACCTAATAAAATTAACACTAGAAAAGCCCGCGGGAACTGTCAAATTCAAAGTTATTCGTTTTAGAGACTATACCACCATGTCTCAAACCTATCAGTCCTTGGAAAAGCTAGATGCAAAATCGCTAAAGTCATGATTACTAAATACTAAATCTCGCTAAGATGGGCTGGCCTATCCGAAATCTCTTCTTTACGGTGAGCTTGTAGAGGGTAAGAAGGAACCGGGTGGACAACTCAAAAGATACAAGGATATTTTCCATGAAAACTTAAACGGGATAAGCAAAATCATAATACAAAACCACGCCTCCTCATTGCAGAAATTGAAAATTAACTTTCTTGAAAAGCGAACATATTTACCATAATGCGAATAATAAATAAGTTATTGCATTAAAGATATCATACGATCACAATTATTAATATTAAGCAAGCTTTACGCAGTATATATGTATTTCTGTGGATTAGATGTGGGTGTGGCGTTGATTCTAATTCACCCTGTATATGCGGCTATGCAAATAGCTGGTGGAAACTGGTCCGGTGCAATTTTCACTCAAAAACGGAGAGGCGTCAGTTGCAATTACGTCGAAAAATGCGAATCAGAAGAGCGACGGAGATCGCGCTTCGTTTGCATAACCAGTTCGCTATACGAGGTATCATCGAAATGTACTCTGATTGTGACAGCAGATATGTTTATAGAAAATATGATACTTTAACAAGAGCAAAAAATATGACGTTAATCGAAATTAATAATAACCATCAATGAAAGAATGAAATCGCAATGATATTAGAGAGTAATAATGATGCCTAATATTTAGCTTATGAAATAAACTTTTGACGTCTAATTTTGAAGTAAAATTAGTGGAAAAGTTAAAAGTTTGTTAACTTTTTCCACTAATTGAAAATTCCTACCACTAATTTTGGTTTTAGAAGCATCAGTATACCACGTTATGGTATGGTCTTTTACATATTAAGCAAACGTTTCTCTCTTCCAATCCATTTTATTACTCAGTACTACAGTGAGGTGTTTCTCAAAGTTATAAATTCTTGGTATGTCATCCACTGGGAGTTGGAGAAGTGAAATTTTCTTTTTGAGGATGTTCCAAGCACTTGACCTGAAAATTATCCCAGTACTGTTTCCGTCAATGACCATTCTAATCATTGTCGCATTGACATAAATATATACTGACGACAATGTGCAGTGGTGTTAGGTCTAGGATGACCTCCATTGTTGCTGTTGGGCATGTTCTCATGACACCTATGATGCAGATTCATGCCAGTCTCTGTACTTTGCACAAGTTTTTTATTATATCAGTTTTAAGTTTAACGATACTAATACATAATATAACAAGATGCATAAGTAAATAAGTACAGGTTTTTGTCATCGAAATTCGTTTGAAAACGGTATTTAGTCGAGCAAAAAACCAAGAAGCGGCAGCAACGATTAACTGTAACGTTTGAGAGCAGCGGGATCGCGATCATTTCCCATTATCGAGAAGCGAAATCGCTGGACGAACCTTATTAATCGGCTAATTTGCGTATTGTGCATCCGAATGGCGGCGTTTCGGCTTCACCGAAGACGACCGTCATCCATTTTCTAAACTAATCTCGCGGATTATCACGCTCTCCGCGGCTTTTGTCAGTCGCGTTACGTCTTTTTGTCCCCCGTAACGGAACAGTTTTTTTAATCGGTTCTGTTCCGTTTTGCCCGAGGTTCGTTCACTCCATTAATTTGAATTTTTGCCTCGAAACTAAACTACTGGATCTACTGTATGTCCCGAATTGTCTTTACAAGCGAAAACGCTTTTTTATTATTGACATTTTGAGAAAAATGCATTCTTTATAAACAGTTTTGCTTGTTCTAAAATCGTTAATGCCGTTTATACTTTTCCAAATTGAAAAAGAGAGATTTTTTTTCTAAAGCTTCATTCAGAATCTCGCAATTAGTGGAATAAATCAGTGGTTTCAATTAGCGTAGAAGTTTGTTCCTGTAATTTGAATGTAAGCATTCAGAACCTCAAAATTAGTATTTAGGCCGAACACTAAATACTCCGAATGAATGGGCACCTACCTCAGCATCCTACAGGCAGAAGTTTACGCTATCAAAAGATGCGTACAATTTATCTTAAATAGAAACTATCCAAAACAGGAAATAGCCATCTTATCCCATAGTCAAAAGCATTAGACGCGACCAACTCAGTAACCATCAATTTGAAGTTGGTCAAAAAATGCCTAACAAGCTCAACAAATTAGGCAAAGGAAACAAAGTCATCCTACTCTGGTGGCCAGCTCACCAAGGGATAGAAGGCAATGAAAAAGCAAATTATCTAGCTAGAAAAAGAGCGAACACTCCACTAACTGGACCAGAACCGTTCTGTTTTCCAAGCGGGAACCAAATGAAAGCAGAACTGAAGAATCTGGAAGACTCCATCCGTAAGCTGGAATGGGTGTCCTCCAACGGTCTAAGACACTCAGAAAAGTTCCTCAGAACCTACGACCGAGAAAAATCAAGGATTTTCCTTGATTTAAGTAAAAACAATCTTCGGATTGTCACGGGGTTTCTAACAGGACACTGTCAGGTCTCCTCAACGAACGCCTAGTAGGCTGATGCTGAGAAACAACGGCCAGTGCAGATTCGGTGGGAAAAATGGGGAAACACCAGAACACCTTATCATTGAGTGCGCCGAGACGACGACCGTTCGTGCCATGAACTTTGGTACGGCTGATATCGAGGATTGAGAGCTGGCCTCTGTGGAGCTGTTTCAGATACTGGTTTTTGTTAAAGCCCTGAGACTGCATGATGAGTTATAACTCGTTATAACTCAAGAAAGGGGAACACAATATATCTGTAAGGTCGCGGTGATTAACTCTATTCCACATTCTACATTCTACATGCGTTTTTATTAACACTTATTCTCTTGTTTTAGGTTTGTTATGTCACTTGGACGACGCCTGCACCAGCAACCCTTGTCACGCCGACGCTATCTGCGACACCAGTCCCATCAACGGCTCCTACACCTGCAGCTGTGCCTCGGGATACAAAGGCGTCGATTGTTCCGAAGACATTGATGAGTGCGAGCAAGGTAAGAGTCTTTTACGATCGTCATTATCGACACTATAACCAAAAAGCAAACAAGCAAGCAGCGTTTTTTAACTACGTAACATATTGACGATGTATGTTTACTCATCAAAAAGAAGGCCCAGCGACGTCGGAACACCGGTTTCCGATAAATCACCGAAGTTAAGCGATGTTAGTCTTAATAGTCTTCAAATTGTTGCAGAATATTCTTCTGCACTACTATACTATACTATACTTTTAGCCCTATTTTCATGAATTTTTTAACAAACTGTATTTAAATCAATAAACTTTAATACATAAACTCAGTTTATTGTCAACTTTAGTATTTGGCTTATTATACAGGGTTGTTCACCACATACGACACGGAGTATTGTAGCTAAACGATGAGATTTTTACAAATTGTAAGTTTGGGGTTCGTTGAAGGACTATTAGAGCTACAATTTAAAAATATTTTTTTAAAGATACAGAGTGTCCCAAATAAATAAAAAATATCAAAGTTGTATTTTTTTAAATGGAACACCCTGTATATTATTACATTTTTAGTTTCTACTATTAAAATAAAGGTAAATTTGATTAAGGTTTATTATACTTAAACCTTACCGTTTTTGAAATATTTTCAATTTTGTGAAATTGCAGTAAAAATTTTAAGGCTTCATTTCTCCAAGAGTACCAAAGTTTTTAATATTAAATATTTACTGAAGTTTATTTATTGGTCAGTTATTGTGTTGCAATAATAAAAATAATACTACCTCATACAGAGTGTCTAAAAATTTATTTTAAATAATTTCTAGCTTCAAACGGCAATAACTTCTTTAATTTAAACGGAATGCCCTGTATATTTTAGGAGAATCAGATGCACAATTAAATTGTCTATCAAATTGTATTATGCCATTTTTTATCTATCCCTTCAAGTTTTCGTAGAAAATGCATTTTCTTATAATTTAGACTTCATTTATCAATATATCCATGGAATATTGACATTTTAGATTGTTTTTAAAGCAGCAAATGTACAAAATGTACAGACTAGTAATATTATCGTTTTTAGCAAAACGATAATATTACTAGCCCATTTGTATGCAAAAAGAAAACTATTTAAATCTTTATCAAAGAGTATACCATTAATTAAATATAACACCATTATTTCCGCCCATATACTAATTAATTACATACTTAATTGTGTTCGTTAATAAATTATTATAAATAAATGTGGATTTGAGTCAGAAATCAATATAATAATAAGTTATCAAATTAAAGTCTCTGTTGTTATAAATAAGTATTTATGAAAAATGAAATTTCATTTTTAAGGTGTTACTTTTTATCACACTGTCTAATGCCCATACAAAATTCAGTTTTTGTATTTGGAGCAATTATTATTAATCAACGCAAACAGTCAGTTAATGTAGTTTGAATACTGGAATCATATTAACTGATCCTCTTTAACAAATATTTAAACAGTTTTTTTTTTATTTTTAATGAAATAAACGAATTATATCGACAATATTAGTATCTGTACTCTTTAAAAATTTGGTACATCTTTAAAAATAATCTAAAATGTCAATAGTCCATGGGTATATTGATAAATAATTTCTAAATTACAAGAAAATGCATTTTCTACGAAAACTTAAAGAGATAGGTAAAAAATGGTATAATATAATTTGATAGACAATTAAATTGTGCATCTGATTCTCGTAAAATATACAGGGTGTTCCATTTAAATTAAACAAGTTATTGCGGTTTAAATCTAATAATTATTTGAAATAAATATTTAGACACTCTGTATAAGGTAGTAAAATTTTTATTACAGCAACACAATAACTGATCAATAAATAAACTTCAGTAAATATTTAGTATTAAAAACTTTGATACCCTCGGAGAAATGAAGCCTTAAAATTTATACTGCAATTTCACAAAATTGAAAATATTTCAAAAACGGTAAGGTTTAAGTATAATAAACTCTACTCAGAATGTAATAATATACAGGGTGTTCCATTTAAAAAAATACAACTTTGATATTTTTTACTTATTTGGGACACTCTGTATCTTGTAAAATTATTTTTAAATTGTACCTCTAATAGTCCTTCATCGAACCCAAAACTTACAATTTGTAAAAATCTCATCGTTTAGCTACAATACTCCGTGTCGTATGTGGTGAACAACCCTGTATAGGGTTAATTTAAGTGTTGTTTTTCACCTTAACTTTAAAACACCCTGTGCAATAATTTCGTGAGTGACTTTTTCTACAACATTATTTTTCTGTTACAACCATGTCTCCTGAGCATTTTGTTTTTTGACTCATGTCCGAGCTAAGTAACGATAATTGAAAAAATTGCAAAATGTTTGTGGCAAGTCCATTTTGCTGTTAAAAATTAACCAGCAAAAAACAAAATATTCAGGTGGTGACATGGTTCAGACAGAAAAGTAATGTTTTAGGAAAATTTGCTCACGAAATTATTGCACAGGGTGTTTTAAAGATAGGATAAAAAACAATTCTTCGATTAATCCTGTATAATAAGTCGAATACTTAAGTTTATAATAAACTGAGTTTTACAAATTGAAATTGATATATTTTTATACAGTTTGCTAAAAAAATCAGGGAAATAGGGCTAAAAATAAAAAATATAACGTTTTTAAACCAACAAATTTTCCGTTGCGTTTTTTTTGCATCTTTTAAACTACTATTGTTCGAAAAACTTTAGTGAATATCATGTCATTGTGCTGTGATAGATTGTCTGTTTTTGGATATTAATTTCTGGAAATTCTTTTATGATATATAACACTGATGAAGGCTGTATTGTTGGCTGAAACGTTTGTCTATAGACTAAATAAAAAGTTTTTTTAAACAGAATGAAAATATAATTTTAGTGTTTTCGGAACCTAGTGTCCCAAGAAAATTAATTTAAGAATATATCGATACGAGGTTCAAGAACTTAAAATTTCCAAGATTATTAAATTCTCTAATATAATATAAATTTATATCTCCCAAGAGTGGATAAATAATGCTGATTGAAAAAAAGAAAGAAACATAGGTATCTCCAGTCGTCTACACGACGATCCTTTTTTTGTTCTCATCGTCACGAGCCGGGATTTTTTAAATATGACACGTATAAATATCAATCAGGGCCCATTTGCATTGTACACACCGTCCCCCGCCCACCGTATATACGCACCGGGTCCACTAATTGCCGGCCCAAGACGTCGCTAATGGCATCATCGTCGTCCGGTGCTCTCACGGCGGCGGCGGTACCGTCCCCCGCCGCCTCCCGCCGGTACCGCGGTACCGGCGAGTTGTCAATGACCGCCCGCAGACCGCCGCCACATGGTTCGTCAGGCGACAGTTAGTTTTGGATTTCGATTCGATTTTCGATTTTAAAGGACGATCATATTTGATCCAAAATAGTACAAATCATTTCTTATGATTATACCATATAGTAGGGGAGCACAAGATGGCTAAATTGGGACGTATTATACAGGGTGTTCCTCACTGACATGCTAATATTTAAGAGCGTGATTCTTGGACCTATTCTAAAAGAAAAACTTCATATGAATGTATGTCCTAAACATCTTAATTTCTGAAATACAAAAAGGTAAATAATTTTTCTAAAAAAAATTATTTGATTTTATTACAGATATTTTAATGAAACTTGATACACGTCTTCTATATGCATCAAAATACCTTCTTTGGTGTTCAAAGAATGTTATTTATTTCAACCAGTGCAGTCCATACGGGTTTTACATTGAATATTTTTGGAGAAAAAAGTGGTACACCACTGACTTCTCCTAAAATAAAAATTAGTTTCAAAATCTCTGTTCGTTTCTAAATATTTTTTGTTTCTTGATTTTTTTCGTCCGCCGCATAGTTTTTGCTTAAAAAATTAAAGACAGTTTATTTAAATGAAACTTTTACATATGACAGAAATAAAAATGAAACTGTTACACCCAGTATCTCCGAAACTAAGCATTTTTAGCCGACCATACTAACAGGTATAGTATGCTATTAAGATCGTCAAAAAAAAAGTTTTTTTTAATTTCACTCAAAATGAGTTATTTGGATCATAAATGACCTAAATACAAAATATTTTCATGGTGTCTGTCTGTCTGTCTGCCTGTCTGTCCGTCTGTCTCTAAAACTCAAAAACCGCTAAACCGATTTTAACCAAATTTGGCACAAAAATACTGTGGCACCCGATAATCTGGCAACTAGTTTTTTGTGGCGGTGGGAGGTTGGTAAGGGGGTATGGGAGGAGCTTAAACATTTTAAAAAATCGTAATTCCAAAATGACAGTAGCTAGCAAAACGTGGTTTTCAATTTAAGATTAGGAATAATATTTGCAACAAAATTTGTAATAACATCAAAATCAGTCAAAGTCGCAGTTTTTGAGACAAAAAAAATTAGAAAAATTCCTTTACTTTTAAACTAAAAGAACTGCCTACCAACTTTTTATTAACATATTTTAGTATGGGTACGTGCCTCCCGGAGCCAATTTTTTGACATACATTTATACGAACTTTTTTACTAATTTTTATCTGCAGAATATGCTGCCGAAGTTTCCGGAATACAGTTCGGACCACCCTGTATACAGCTATTAATTGAAATTTTTAGTACCTATCCGAACAATCACGAAAGAACAACACTTTTGAAATAACAGAAAGTTTGTTGATTTATGAAAAAAAAAAGAGATAATTCACCTACAGCCACAGAATTTATTAATTTAAATAAACCGGTAGCCCACGAGTGGTTAAAGCCAGCTTTGCATATGATAAAAAGTAAAAGAATTTATCAAATGGTTCTAATCCGACTCTAATTGAAAGCCCAGTCGGGCGACCTATCGCTTGTCGTATAAAAAGGCCAATTAGGTTTAAGACGGTCATCAATTCAGCCGCCATTTATCAGGAACTTAAATTAATCTAAGCGTATTTTTAACTTCAATTTGCCGACAGCAGATAGTAGCCCCTAAAAACGATTATTTCGGTATTTTTTTTAATTTTGTTCGTCTCGAAAGTGGC